ATTTAATGTTCAAACAAAACTCTGGTTTGTTTTTAGTACAAAGACGCACTTCCACCCGTCCATGTCATCGACTCGGGTATACTTCTTGTACTAGGATATTTCATTTTATCGACATGCGGCACTAATATCCTATAATGAAAGAATACGTGGGGATTCAGATTGCCTGTCATGAAGAAACATGTAATTTAAATATAAATTCGTTTATACCCGTAAAAGCTGTGTGTGGCCGTCTATTCGGAAATGAGTACCATTACCGCGTGCTCAAGACGTGAAGTTATCTGGATGTAGGAAAGTCAAAGAGACCAAGTGAGCTGCACCCAAACCCGCTTGGAAAGCCGGACTCTATGTAGCTGGCCTGCTGATTATTGCATGTAGAATGTCCTTCAGTGAAGACACTTTCCTCTGTGACTGGAAGGATGCCATGGTCACACCTATCCCGACTGCAGGTTATAGATAGCACTCACCAAGCTGCAGGCCAATAAGTTTGACCAGTACTGTGGTGAAAATCCTAGAAGGACCAGTTGGGATACCTGATACAGTTCACCTATGAAGCAACACCCTACTATCTCGTTCGGTACACGACAGTAGCAGAAGTTGCTCTTGCTTGACAGGCCTTCTCATAGGCAGGGAAAGCCGGACTAAGTATAAGGATGATAAGATATCTGTAGACTTAATTTCCGTATACCTTAGTAAGACGTTGAACAGGTACCTTATTTCAGGCTCCTCACGGATCTAGACATTTTCGGCGGTCTACTTGAGTGGACTAGAGAGTTATCTGTCGGTAGAAGATATAGAGTACAGACCACTTTTCAACTCTTCTATTTGAAGTCAGCAGTGAGTGGGATGCTGCGAGGCAAAACTCTGGACCCCCTGCTATTTCTTATATGAATAAACGAGCTGTCGAATATCACGAAATCCCTTGTGGTTATCTGCTCCGATGGCTTAAACATCTGACAGAGAATCGCGGATGGTGAGGGTGCATATGCACTTCAGACAGAAGTGAACAGCTTGTTTACTTGGTCACAGAAGTCGTTGATATCTGTCAGCGCAGGCGAGTGCAGACGTGCATGTGGGGCATAGATGGCAACAAGTACGATATTGGTGGAAGTTTAGTGCTGACCCGAAATCACCTGTTGATTGGTCACAGCCCAGAGTCTAAGGACGCATTGGGAATTACTTAGGAAGTTTAAAAAACAAGTGGTGGTATGGTCACCGCTTTATGCACACCCTTTGTCAAGTCTGAACTAGAGAACTGTGTATTGTTGGCAAATCTTTCGTCCGAAAGGTGACTCGGACCTTCTGGAAGGGGTCCTATGATCTCCGCGACGGGCAACTTGAACTATGAAGATCGACCTGAGGAGCTGGTCTCTTTCTTTTAATCCCACATCAGAAAGAGGACGTAAGAATGCAAAAGCGATAGATGAACGTAATTTCTACAGTATACTGAGTATCGCATCCACCACTCAACTCCTTGAACCGATCCCCGGAGGAATTGTTGTGCATATAACCTACTGACTCGGTGAAAAGAAGACTGGACATCCATGGTGATCACCTGGAAGAGGTTAAGATAAGCTCGCTTTCTTGCTTTTCCGCACCTATTCAGTGCGGAAGTGGTAAACGTCTTTGGATTCTCCACGTAACACACTAGATGACAACGATTAAGGGCATTTCATCCGTCTGCGAGCATTTTGCTTTCTTGGCCCACCTTGCTGCCTCCTAAATTTAGTTTCGATAGACCTTTGAAACTGAACAATCAGGGCTCCCTCTGAAGAAACGTGACAGAATTGTATTTTGAGACCATTATTGTTACCATTTTTCCCTTGCATTCTTAGTGGAACCTAGGGTTTCAGCAGAACGCCTCCATTGCTCTCTCCTCCCTGCAGTCTCTTAAACCTGGCGCCCTGACTGCCCAGAAGCTTGCATTTCTTCCTCATATGATCTCCGCCATATCACCCTCACCTCGGACGCCCAACTCGTCGTTGGTTTTTGCCCGTAGATCTTCGAGGTTATGCAACAAGACATTAGGCATAAATCATCATCATCATCGGCGGCGGCGGCGGTGGCGGCGGCGAAATCCAAACCTTCTTCTGGGGTCTTCTCATCCGTCCAGCCAGCGTATGCCCATCTTCTCGCTACTCACAGTTTATTACATGATCCAGTCCAGTTGACTACAATCAGGAAGATGATTGGTGATAGAAGGCGGCAACCTTGTCTTACTCCTGTCTTCACTTCAAAGGGGTCACTCAGCTTTCCATTGTGAATCACGTGGCATATGGCTTCGTCATCCACCATATAGCTGTTGAATGAGGTTGATAAAGATTTGTGGCACTTCGTAGTGTTGAAGCAATTGCCAAATCTCTTATCGGTTGACGCTGTCGAAGGTCTCTTCAAAGTCGAGGCAGATAGTCTCCATTCTGTACTGTGTTCTATGATGATGCGTAGCTGAGTGTAGCGTTGCAATTTGGTCCGCACATGATTTGTTCTTCCTGAAGACAGCCAGCCAACCAGCCTGTTCCGGTCGTAATTTTGAATCCAGGGCATCTTTTAGTCTCTCCAGGATGCTGTGACTTGGTATCTTACTTGGGGTGGACAGCAGCATGATTCCTCACCAGTTCTTACAAAGGCTTAAGTCTCCCTTCTTTGGGAGTTTGACAAGGTAGCCCTTCGTACAATCAACTAGCAGGTACCTTTCCTTCCTTCCTTGCAAACATTCTGCAGTAGTGGTGTGAGCATGTTCACTGTTGTCTGTGTCTGTTTTCAGTGCTTTTGGAGGAATTCCATCTGGTATTGCTGTTTCCTTGCATTTCAGTAACTTTTTGGCATTTAGGAATTCTGCTTTTGTCGGAGGACCTGAGTTCACTGGTAGTTCTGCCGTTGCTGGTGGTATTTCTGGACGAGTTGCAGGTGGTGGTCTAGTCAAAACTTTTTGAAGTCGTCAGCCCATTGTCTTCTTTGTTTCTTCTGTTTGGCAGCTAGGTTTCCTTCACTATCATTGGTTTCATCAGAGTTGCTATCTCTCCAGATGGTAACTTGGTTATTTGATATGGTGTTGTGAGGTCTCGCCTACCACCAGCCTGTTCTGCTTCACTTGCTAGTGTATCGTGGGAGTGTCTTTTGTCTTTGCATGCACTGTTTTTGTACGTTCTACTCATCTCCTCTTTTCGTTGTTCATACTTGCACTGGTTCATCTTCTGCTTCACCATCTTCTTCTCCATTCTCTATGAGCCTCCATGTGTATGTGGAGATCCATTTCTTGTCTTCTTTCCTCTTCCTCCCTGATTCGGTTTTGCAAGTTTTTTTCCATATGGCTTTCAAGGAGTTCCAGTGTTCTACCACGCCTGATACTTCAGGGATGTTGCCCAATGCCTCCCGTTTTGTTCCGATTGCTAACTGACGTGGAGATGTGCGTTGAAGTTCCGTCCTTCTGTTTCTGTTCTGGGTGTTGAACTTAAACTGTGGTCTATCACGGACTTCTTTGAAGGCTTTCAACTTGATTTTGGCGGTAGGTTCCTTGAACTAGATAGTGAGTGGTCTAAATCACCTAAATCTGCTGCCCTTCTTCATCTGATCTTGTGTCCAGTAGACTGCGTCTCCACTTTCCTCACGTTGAGATGCAGTCGATCTGTTTTTAGTGTGGTGTGTCCTTGTGTTTGGTGAAATCAAATCCACGTTGCTTTATGAATATCCTTGTGTTTGTACACTGTGCCTCCAATCACCAAATCGTTGAATGCGCACAAACCTACAGACATTTCTCCATCCTCATTCATTTTACTAAGTGCCTCTCGACCCAGGATCAGTTCTCTTCCTGTGTTGTCCACTCCCAGTTTAGCATCCATGTCACCTATAAGAATTTTGATGTCACCAACTGGAGTTTTGTCTAGTACTGATCGCAGCTGTCTGTAGAATTCCTCCTTCTTCTCTTGATTCGTAGTATTTGTAGGTTTTTAGCGTAGCATTGAATGATTATGGCTTTCCTTCCTTTTGAGTTGAACCTTGCTGTTATGATCCTGGAGGAGACTGGTTCCTACTGCATGAAAGCCTTCGATGCTCTTGCGCACATCATGATAGCCACTTCAAAACTCAATGTGTTCATGGTTGTCGTCTGGGTGACAATATCGGGGTGGATTATTGACTCTCTTCTCCAGTTGAAAGTTAGGAGAGTCCACTTCTATTCCATCTACTTTCGCATATTCTCAGCCTAGCGCTTCTATGCTATACCTTCTCATCTCTTTTGTAATCTGGACGGCCTTGGTAGGTTCATACATGGTGCGGACATTCCAGGTCCCCAATCTTACTTTCGCTTTCATCGAGAGAAGAGTAGACACATCGGCTAATTGGCTTTCACCAACCGGCATATTTTCGCCTCTCCTATTCCAGCGAGGAATAAGTTTGTTTTCATATTTATATTTCCTTTGTGCCTAGAAGTTTCTTTAGCGATTGGATTGATTTTGCAGGGTAGGGTTGGTAGCCCTATGTCCAACCTTCCCTCTTTATCCGGGCTTACGACCAGCTAGTAACTGGCGAACTAGTTAACCAGACGAGATTATTTTGAGGAAATAGGTATCACAAAAATCTTTCTAAGCAAGCTAATAGTAAAGAATTTTCTATCAGTAGACAACAGGTCACAAAGAACTAGGTCAGAACCCCTTTCGAAGGCTCCAATTCAATGTTAACTGGATGAGGGGAAACAACAGCGTGTGTTGCATTTAGAATATACAAAATGCGACAAAGAATTTCAAACTATGTTGAAAAGGCTATGTTAAAACACAGATACAGAGAAAACCGCAATGCTTTTTGCCAAAATTCACCAAAGACAGACGCCCTGTAACATCTGTTATCCTTCTTTGTTTCTTCTTCGACGTACGTGTTAGAATTTACTAAATAAGTATGTTGGTATGAAAGGCATACTAGCGGCAAGTCAATTTTTATGGTATTCTAGCTGGGATAAAACTGGCTTGAAATTTTCTAAAACAATCAGATAACGAAATATTCTGCACCTTATGAATTCGAATAAAATAATAAAGGTCAACAGAAAGCTGTAGGTGAATTAAGTGTAATGAACTGAGTCTCAAGTGCTATTTTAAAACAGAAGGAGGAGAATGAGCTACTAGAGACAGAAACAAAAGAAATTGAAAAGAGGTTAAATCTACTCAAATCAACCCTGTATTCAGAAATATGCAAGAAAAGTAATGCAAGGTAATGAAGTGAAACTCAAAATGACCGCGATTATAGTGATTCTGAACCAATTTGGAAGAGTAGCCATTCATCTTTTACTGTTAATAAACCAAAATCAGACGCATTGATTGATGTTGGAATAGATTTATCTCATATTACTCTGCATTTTTAGGTCAGCAAAATAAAATTTAAAACTTTGAAACATAATCCACTTTCAAAAAGTATGTTATTTTTGTCAATTTATTGAAAGATAAACCACCGGACGTTTTTGGTGATGTTATACGGAAAATAGCTGATTTGAATAAGAAAGTTCCAGGTTGTTCCACTGATCATGGACAGTTGCAGTGTGGGCAGTGCGAAGATAAAAGGGCGGTGGTTGTAGGTCTAATTATTTTAACTTTTTTTAAAGTCGTGTCAAGAATGCAGCGAATATTACTGTGCAAAATGTTTTGCTTCTTTCCACATGAAAGGAGCACTTAGGCGCCACCATTCTCTACCTATATCAGTAAGCTGTTTGTTTTCTTATGATGCTTAAGACTTCCACTCCGCGGTTCGAGTCACTACAGTCAAAGCACTTCAATGAAAGTAGCCAATCAACAAGCTGTGAGAAGGCGGTTAGCATAGTAAGTTTTTGCTTTGACACCTATCCACTTCCAACATTTTGTAGCTTCTTTAGGTCAACTTTAACTCCTAAAGATTAAAAAAATTCATCTACAGAAGATTGCACCTCACATTTTTTGACATTGTAAGCATCAAAGTTAGAAAAGGATACTTTACTGATATTTACGGTTATAATAGAGGGTCTGTGATGTATTACTTTCGATGGAATAACATGTCTCAGCTCACCAAACCCCATTCCTACGCCCTTAAAGGTATTTTCACTATGTTTTGAAAGAAAGAATTTTACAGCCAGATGCATGGGAAACACATAGCTTGTGGTAAGAAATTTAGCCAGCACTTTCCATAGAAAGGAAAATATTGAGATTGGGTAATGCAACCTGCTCGTCCTAATGAGTGATACGAAGATTATTAGCATGGAAGCTGTAAGAAATATGCCGCTTTAAAAGTTTTCACATGCGATCTAGACAGATGTAGAGACCAGCCACTAAATCATCATATTTTTCGTATGCCCATGACCCCAAAACCAGGATAAAATACAATTAATTGACCTGGCAAGAATTGCACGTTTTTCACTTCTTGCCAATGTACCAAGACTCATGATCTAACTGGCTATGTAGTCGCGAGAGGACAACACAACATGACATGACTACATGCCGAATGGTGGGCATGCTTGACCACGTGTCTCCAGTAAAAAAGTCCACTACGACTACAGATGTAAACAGTAATATTGCATATTAATGAACTCAAGCATATCAGTTTTTTGAAGTTATTTTTTTCGCCATACTGATTGATGTGACTATTTTAAGATAAATTCTCCCCAGCAATAAATTCAAAACGTCGACAACTGCCCAAAAGTTTGTAATCAGCCAAAAGTACAGAAAATAAAAATGTAACGGGCAGAAAATAACGTTTAAATAATAAGATATTAAAGGGAGAGAAAAGAACTCTGGTTGCAGAATGGATACTAATAGAATCATTTCAAATATAAATATTCCACACGAGGTATTATCTTTAGAATCATGTTATCTACGGGATTCACTTCTCACTCGTAAAGGGTACCATAATCCTTACACTTTATGTTAGGTGATAGCAACAGATAATGGAAAAGAAGTTGAGCACGTGAATATACTAAGTGTATATATGCATATATTTATAGTAACAGTCATCCTACATAACTTGTACACCTCAATGCTGTTAAAACCCTGATCTAAAACTAGGATATCAATATTTAAAGTCATAAAGTACTCTGGAATGCTTGAACTGTGCAAATGTGAGCACACGTTTAGGTGCCGTATGTGAGGAAATCAAAACATCCAGTTTATCTTCATCTGAAGATTTTGAAAGTCAGTTGATGTCAGGTTTATTACTTTGATTTGGAAACTGGGATTTTTTTATTGCTGGCTGTCTAACTTTCAGGAACAGTTCCCAATAAAAGAAGGTTATTTCTTTCCGACAGCACAAAGGATGAAAAATGGGCCCATATATACTACAACTTTCCTCGTATTTAAATAAATTCTTTGTCAATATAATGATATGAACTGATGACATTAAGTATTCTATGAGTGGCTGCCACTCAAACACGAATAATAGTACGATAGATATTAAAATTATCATATATCTCTTCAGCACTTTTTATTTTGTCATTTATACTGACGAGCATAATCAGAATAATCACGTGTATTCATATGGAAAGAATGTTAACAATGAGATGAAGCAACAATGTAGAGATTAGAAAGTTTAGCTGTTAATTCTACCTTTATCTGTTACAGTAAAAAGACAAATCCATGAGCAAATATTGGTAGAGAATAGTTTTTGCAGTACAGTGTTTATGCTTAATGAAATAATAAGAGAATAGTGGAAGAAAACTGAATCCCAAATTAGTTTTACTTCAATGTTTCATTCATCTTAGACAATACTTGGTAGAACAGAGATAACTGAACTGTGGTATTTAACATATAAGTGTCCGGTAGTTTTTTTATTATACACTAATGAAGTGTATTCTGGTAGGAAAAATAAGTGTACTGCTACCTTAACATCTGTAGAAGTTAAAAAAACATAGTCATGAAGATATCTATTCTGAACTTTGTAGATTCTCAGTTGAACATAGTTTCTTTCGAAAAAATTTGAAACACTACATAGTCTTCCTTTTTGATACAAAAAAGAATCAATGAAGAAAAATAAAAGTCAAAAACCGTTTAACAAGTTGTAAAAGAAATGGCTGATGATCACAGAAGACAAATAGCAAGATGTATCAGGTGGAGTTATGTAGGAATCACACTCAGTAACAACCAAATATATGACGAAAAACGATAGAATTGCAGAAAAATTTAATTTGTTATCAGTATTGTCAAACAATCTCACAGTTTTACAACCCCATTGATAAATACAAATTTTCGTTAAGGCCAGCTGATTTTAACATATTTACTTAACTGCTATGACCTAGGGAGACTAAACAAGTACTTTTTGACTTCGAAAGCTTGTTATACACATCAATCAGTGCATGCGACCTTTGAGTAAAGTATACAAAGTTTATTAAGATTTGGATAGCTAGGAAGTATTATCTACCTCGGTTATTAATGTGTGACTGATAACCTAGTACAGAAACTTGTAAACGCCAAATCGGTTGTTTAATCTAGTTAAAACCAAGGTAACCTGTTAAGAAAGATGCATAGTAAACTTCCTCTCTGATGCCATGTGATGGAAAGTTCAAGCACAAATATTATTCTTGAGTTTCAGGACGCAATATATCAACTCTGTGGTACTCCTCACTTTATGATAGTAATGAAAATGCTTTCAACTTGTTACTGAAAATGTTTTCATAACTTCCTATTTTTAGTTGTATATGATAAGTGAAGTAGCTGTATTTTAGATAAACTATCACAAGAGCCATATATATACTACTTTTAAAAACCATTTAATATATACATCAACAGGGTTGTCAAAGTTCTTTTGGTGCGTCAGATAAGTTGAATGCAGAATTGCAAACTGAAGATACGAAGACGATGAAACAAAATCAATTTTTTGATAATAAACAATCACTAACACTATCAAAGCGATCTTCAACACCAGTAGTTGGTTGCAATGTCTCAACACTGTGTAGATCACCTGTCCCAATAGAAATACACTTTACACCAAGTATAAGCTATGCAGAAAAACTACTACTTCGTTTACATCGTAATTCTAAACTTCAACAACTTGGAAGTCAGATAAGTACAAATCATCAGACTATGTCAATGGAAATGATTCAAGGACAATCAAATAGTGGTGAGTTTTATGTTTGAGTTAATATTTTTGCACAGTCATTTCATTTCATTTAACGGATTTCAGTTGAACGGTAAATGATACAATGAATCCTGGTGACATCTTTGTAAATGACTGAAGGTTTTGTCGTCCTACAGTTGATTTATAGGTACACTTTGTTGTAAACTAACATCAGTCTGAGAGTAATAAACATCATTTTCCTCCTATTTTGAATTTTCGTGTACATTTGCGTTCACAGCGTGAAGGAAAATCAATCTTCAGAGAGAAGATTCCTGTGGTGAGTACTTTGCTATCTACACCTGGTTTAAAACTATAATAGAATTCTAGTTAAGCAGTAGTTATAATGTCATAAAATCTACTCAATGGCCAATTATTTAGAACGAGACTAAGTTTCTGTACAAATCTGTGAAAAGACAAGCATTTTTAAAAGACATTTAATCAGTAATCAACAAGGTTTAACTTTTTTAAGCCTATTGAACATTCAGTTTCTCAATCTTCTGAGAAACTCTTTTGAATGTTTCCCTGGTATCATAAATACAATTTGTGTTGTTATCGGAATACAGGATAAAATTAATAAAAATTGAAACATTTTTAAAATACCATTAACAACAATGCCAATAGACATCAATACTTTAACTATTTTCTTTTTCTAATCAAGTTTCGTTCATAGTTATCTCCTAATTTCTTGTTTGAAACACTGCATACACCGCAAATATTTACGATTGCCATAGTTACCAACAGATTTCAACTAGATTATATAATACATTTATAGTAAGAGTTTTATACGATTGAAATTGCATAAAAACACTGATTGAAAGAGAATTTCCCCCTTTCAAGAGAAACATACATCTCAGTAACAATATTTTGTGAATGTAAGTGTTTGCTTATGCAGCCAAAATGAATATTAAATAAACTCGTCTACATAATAGAGAGTATTAATTTTACCTCACCAAATAAATATTATGCTCTTAAAGAAGAAAAAGGAGAATAATTCTTAGGCGCAAGTGTATCACTTGTAAGATATTTGATTTATGTAGTGTAAAGACAACTGAAAAAAAATGATAGTTGAACACAAAAGTTGAATAACGTTTAACTAAAATAAGTAAATAGATATTTTATTCTCATAACAGTAATTTAACATGAGAGAAGCCAGTTTACAGGCATCATCACATCGATATATGTTGAAAAATGTACAAGATTTTATAGAACCTGAATGGTACGGAAGGAAGGTCATTAAATTAGATTAAAAACATCAGAAGATTACAGAAGTTGTGAAACGAACAAGAAAATGCCACTTTTCAGCATATACAGAGGGTTAAAGTTAAGGTCGTTTTCAGTCATACTTTCTTTTTTCACCATCCATGGCACCAAGGTCGCTGAAAATCCCAAATTTCCGTTACAAGTAGTTGACATGTTTGATTCGTCTTCGCGATGCCCCGTTACGCTAGATAAACGTCTATTTTACCATAAATTCTTATGCTTATGGCTTTGGCGACCATAGGAACCCACACTGACGATTTAGAGAATATGTAAGTTTCCACATAATCATGTAATCCAAGTGAATATCTATTCAAGCGTTATCATTCACAACAATATAGATTTATGCCATCAAAATTAGATATTGTGGTGCAAAGGAATGAACATTTGAAAAAACTGCGGACCAATGGCAATGCATTTTCCATACTGTTCACGTTAAGGTATACAGCATTATCAAAGAGGTATATTCAATGTTAGATAAAGTACTAGAGAAGTCTGTTGTATAGCATTATTGTGAATATGTTCACTTTAAAGTTAATAGGTGAGTTGATCTCCTGTATTTTACTGTCTGTCCAGATTTTCGTTCCCAGTACATCAATAAATTTGCTGATACATCTCATGTTTATCATTTATTTCATGAATATACAGCATGGGAACTCATCAAACATAATTGTTATAAACAAATTTAGGTATTTCAAACAATCTATGACGATGAAATGTTGACCAACTTCAAGTTTTGGTCCAATTATTACTAAAATGGGATTTTTACACAACACAATTGCTTTCCTTTCTAGTTCACCTAATGTAAACCTTTAAAAGAAACCATTTCTAAAGTGTATTTTTGTTTTGATGACTAATTGCACCTTGAATTATGGTAAACTAAATTTTCGTTGGACAATAAATTCTAATTACGAATAGCAAAAAGGTAGGATAGAACATAGGAGCTGAACATAAAACTAACTTTCAGGTCGAAATGAAGGCTTGACTTTTAAACTACTGGTTAATAATACGATAGGTGGTTATTTTTGATGTGATGTAAGTAATTACATCATCCCTGTTTGTCAGCAGACGTGTCTTTTCACTCTCGAGTTTCATTGGTATTATGAGTCACTGCTTTTCAATAACAGTTTGCGTCATTGTTAGTGATAAGACTTTGAATCAAACGTAGATTACTGAAAACTTATTTATATCCTTTAATTATTCTAACTTATAACGATCCCACGAACATCATACGGCAACAGAAAAAAGTTATCAGCAATTCATGTAGTAATAGATAGTGAAAAAAAGAAGCTTTAAGAGTTATACATGACAAAATCATTAGAGTAAACATCTAAAAGTAGAACCAACATTTCTAAGTTGGCACTCATCCCAGTTGGAAAACCATTGAGAACCTAGGAGGAATGGACAGCTGTTTCTTCCTAGTATGGTACTTCTCAACAGTAAGCAACCACTACCCGGCTAGGGACCGAACCTAAGAACGTTAGATTTTACGGCCACTGCATTAACCATTCAGCCACTAGGTCAGAATCCACTGGTCTATAGTTTCTTACTTCCGTCAATTGACGATACAGCACGACTAGTTACCAAGATCTTCATTTGATATACGTTTCGCTTCCTACTGGTTAATCCCACAGGTCACAGCTTCTCAGTAGAACTTCGGGATATCAATATCAAAGTATGTCACTAGTGAGCACTATACACTAATGTATTTTGAGGTGACTGGGGATTTCACTTTTGAAGTAGCATTCATTGAATGATTCTCCGATTGATTTCAGTTCCTAATGAATGCTATCTTAAAGATGAAGAACCCTTCAACCTCCAAATAGATTAAAGTGAATATTTCCGTTCATTTGAACGAGGTTGTACGTCATTGATTACTTATATAAGTAGTAACATTACCGGTTGATCACTACAACTGAATGTTTTGTTAACACAGACAATGAACTTACATGGAGTTGTGATTTTCTTTTTGTCCGGCAATACTACAGTCCCTACTGGTGTGAAATACGCATTAAGTCAGATATATGTTGTGATAAATTTCTGAAAGAATAAGTTTATCCTAAGATAATAGTCTATTCACTACGTAATACTGATATATTTGCGGAAGAAGCATAGATGGATATTAATCACATGAGATGCTGTATAACCATTCAACATTTCGTGTTGTCATACTTCATGTAAATGCAAATAAAATCTAGCAAAATGGAGCAACAAAGAAACGAAAATAACAGTATAAACAGTCACTCATAGCCACAAAAAGAAGGAAAAATGAAACGAAGATAATTAAAACACAATAGTAACATTACTTATTTGAAAACAAGTCACGACTACACTTTTTCATCCAAAGTCAATTTTCAGACAATACCGACAGTTTTTACCCATCCATTTTGGAAATGAATATTGATTTAGTAAATTCCTTAGGGGATTACTAAACTGCATCTAGATGAAACTTAATTCTACTATTAACACATAAATCAAACCAAATGAAAATAAACACAGTCGATTGTTTGGTGCTATTTGAATGGAGCCAATCGACTGAAGGCCATGGACCTATGTTTCGTGCTTGTTTGCACTTATCAGCAAGGTATGTCTGAAGCGTCAATGAAAGAGATGTCTCCTCTGAGATCCAAACTGGCGTAACCTAATGTTGCAGTCAACGACAATATCACTGAGCTATTCGGGTAGCGATCAACCTCCTGTAGGACTGGATTAGAAACATTGATCGGTCTGTAGACAGAGACCGATTTCATGTTTTTTAGTCCTGAGAGCTAACCGAATTCTATGTAATTTAGAGTTACAGAGGTCAGTCAAAACCCAAATAACTCAGTGGTAACATCAGTGACTTCAATACTAAGTGACCCCAGTTTGGATCTCAGAGAAGACATTACTTTCATCGATGCTGCAAAAACACCTCTCTAACGATTGTCAACATGCAACAAACCTAGATCCAGGGATTCCTTTGGGTTGCCTTAAACTAACACCTACTAGACTATCCAGCAATTTTAACCCTCCTAGCATCCTGACCACATATTAAAATGACTGATAGAAAACAGTCAACATTTAGGACTAAACGTCATAAAATTAGTTGCTGTCTAGTGAACAGTCAGTGTTACAGTTTATTGTATTGTTGAATTGTCGACATAAGAAGTCATAAAATATTTCTTAACTGACAGCCTGTAATGATAAATGATAGCTGTAACATGGTATGCGCTTCACTAGGTAACTAGCAGGGGAATCCAGGATGCATGTTTCAACCTATTTTGGACTCATCAGTCGAATGTATCTGCACCCCAGTGAGTGATATTGTTCTCACTGAGACTTGACCTCAGTACCCATCACTTTAAACATCAAAGCGTTATGATATGCGCTTCGTCTTATCATTTGCCCGGCATTTTATGTAAACGCTATTGTCCTTCAAAGTTATCTGCTGACATTGTACCTTTAACTTTCATTTTCCTGTCATCATTTCAAAATAAGAAGAACATACAATGCAAGATTTTAAGCTGGACAGGATTTCTTTCAATGAATTACATAAATTGGCCACAAGTGAAGTGCAGCTGAATGGTACTTTGGCTCTTTATCCTACTAACGATTTGGAACCATCTACACCGCAACTAAATGAGGTAATTTAAATAGTTTGTCCTTCATACTCCATTTACACAATAATTGTTCATATATTCATAAATGCAACATAGAAACGTTATTTACTCTTTGATAGATAATGAGTTCCGGTGGAGATGAATTCAACTATAATAGATTGCATGAAAACCTAGTTTGTCATCAAACATTTTAACTTTGACTGATCAAACAGAAAACACTGAAGTATTCCAATCAGTACAATATTCTAAGTAAGTTCTATGAGGTATTATACATGTTCGACTAAAAACTTGTTTATTAATTTGCATAAATTAAGATCTTTAATACAGATCATGACTTAGTTTTAACTAGTGTGAATGGCTTCAATAACAGTTATAAACTGTAATGGGAACATTTTTCAACTGTATTTATAACTCACTTTTATGTTGTATTCAACAAATTAGTGTTCTAAACTACACAGTCTAGTTCAAATCACAGCAAAATATAAAGGAGTACTACCTGCTAGATATAATCTGGACAGAATCTACCTTAGTCAACAGTGATTTTTAAAACTTTATACATTTATTCCCCTTTATGATGCTGAATAACGCGGTGAGAACACCATTAGCAGGATAAGATGAAATGCATTTCATAGGATTTTCTTCAACTGTGTAGAACCTTAATAAATTACTAAACTAATCGATGAAACAACAACTAAGTTATATAGAACGCTTTAAGATACCGGTCAATGTTTTAAAGAACGGGAAAACAAAATAATTCAGGATACATAGGAATTTCGAGTAATAAATTCAGTCAAACCATACTATGGTTTAACTAAAGCAAACTGAGGAATGTTCACGAATGAGTGAAATTAAGTTAGAAGTAAGTAGCAAGGCTTGGATAATCATGTGAAACTATCATATTGAAAGGATAAGTGGGTGAGATAAAACTATCATAATATTCAGGTTGCATGCAGCTAAAGAAAATCCTACGAAAGAAATGACGTCATCTTATCTCAAAAGTGCTGTCCCCACTGCATTATTCAAGGGTTTTTCCGTTTGATACGGAATAGCATTCTCTTAAGTCAGTTCCTATACGAATGCTCATTATATAGCAAAATTCAAATTACATTTCTCGTGGAAATACAGCTAATAAACTCAGAGGTTGAATCAGCTTAAGTTAACTAATTAATATCACATACATTTTTCACCAGAATGAAAGATTTTCCTCAATAAGTGAAAGCTTGATAATTTAGTAGGAATTACCTTGATATATCTACCTTGTCAAGATCCAAAAGAACGCCAACCCAAGTCTTTGCAAGAACAGGCGAGGAATCATGCTGGTGTCAAACCCAAGCAAAATATTCAACCACATCATCCTGGGGAAACTAAAGGATGCGATAGCTTCAAAATTACGACTGGAACAGGATGGTTGGCTGGCTGGCTGGCTTCAGGAAGAACAAATCATGTGCGGAGCTAATTGCAGCGCCACACTCAGCTACGCATCATCATAGAACACAGTATAGAATGCCAGTCAACTCTCTATCTTACCACAACTTCATCGACTTTGAAGAGAACTTCGACAGCCCTACCGAGAAGTAATTTGGCAGTTGCTCCTTCAACACCACAGTCTCACTGCCACAAACATTTATCAATCTCATTCAACAGCTATATGATGGACGACGACGCCACATGCGAAGTGATTCACAATGGAAAGCTGAGTGACGCCTTTGAAGTGAAGACAGGAGTAAGACAAGATTGCCACCTTCTATCACCAATCATCTTCCTGATTGTGGTCAACTGGACTGGACTGGACTGCACTGCACTGCACTGAACTGGATCATGTAACAAACTGTGAGTAGCGAGAAGAGGAGGATATGCTGGACTGCGGAAAAGAACCTAGAAGACTTGGATTTCGCCGATGACTTGTGTCTAATGTCTTGTGGCCCAAACTTGAAGATCTACAGGCGTAAGCTAACAAGTTGACGGAAGAGGTAAGGCAGAGAAGATGGGACTTCCTTAAGGTGAATGTAGAGAAGACGGAGGTGATGAAGATACCCAACCAACAACAACAACAGGAAGAACAAGCATCAATCACCACCACCGAAAGAAACCTAAAGGAAGTAGTCTCTTTCACCTACCACCTACCCAGGCTGGGCAGCATCGTTTCAACTACAGGTGGCACAGACACAGATGAGGACGTCAAAGCCAGAATCGGAAAGACGTCAAGACAGGCCATCATCAATCTGAAACCAGTGTGGAGATCTACTGTACTGTACTGCCACTACACTACACTACACTACACTACACTACACTACACTACACTACACTACACTATACTACACCACACTCAGCATGAAGCGTGAACAACATCCAGATTTTCAACACTAATTCAGTCAAGTAAGTCAGTGCTTCTATGTGATGGTTGAGAGACTTGGCGGTGAGTTACGAAAAGCATTTCCAACAAACTACACACACACACATACATCAACAGCTGCCACCTACGCTCACTCGATACTGAAGATCATATGGATGGTCAGAATAATGAGAATAAGCAACAGGTAACTCTGGCCTGCTAACGACTCAACCAGGAACCCATCACCAAACAAATATACAGAAGAAAGTGGAGATGGATTGAATTGGGCATACACAGAGAAGACCGATTGAGGACATCAAGCGCCAGGTCAGGCCAGGCCAGGCCCTGAAGTTGAACTGAAATGGGCTATGACGAGTTGGGCGTCTGAGCTGAGGGTGACATGGAGGAGATCATGTGAGGAAGAAATGAAAGTTTGTGGTCATTTGTGGAGTCAGGTTGAAGAGACTGTAGAGAAGAGAGTGTAATGTAGGCGTGCTACTGAATCCCTATATTCCACTAAGAACCCAAGGGAAAAATCATAAATAATAGTGGTAATAATATGCATTGATGCATCAGAAAAAATTCATAGGTTCACCATTTAGGCGGTGATAAGCTTACTTTCTTAATCACTAGTTAGAAAAAATTTCTAGGCATCAATTCAAATTCCTTACCTCCACTGGTGACTCGACTTCAATGTAAGTAAGGAAGTGAGTCGGCAGTTGAATACCAACCCACTTCATAGAAATACTAAATAAACTTGTACTTAACACTATAAGTAGTGTTGACTACCGTTCAACTGCATACAAATTTCGATTTAAGGTTATATCATTTCTTGTTTTAATAATCTAAACTACAAAAATCCTTGAACAGTACTCAAGTAGGAAATATTTTACAATATGCTGAGGATACTAAAGAATTACTTCTCACTTAAGTATGTATGGATTCTCAAGAAAGCTCAGTAGATTATTTACATGTTATTTTACTGTGAATAAAACTTCCTACATTACTTCTTCAGTAGCTTCTTGTACTGTTAGACTTTTCAATGTAATGTTGCCATAGCGTCTTGTTACAAATTACTTTGCTACTTCACTAATGTAGCCTATAAAAAGTATTATTTTTTTATGATGTCTAACACAGTAGAATTCAGGATGCGAATTCCATTACCAATCGGAATACTTTACTATATTTACCTGCGTCAAAGAAATAGTGTGCTTTGTGGAATCCTCCACTAATCACCGAATACCGAATAACATTCAAATGAATGATACTCATGACAATATTGAGACCACTATTAAAGAATGGTCATATACCAAGAGAGGTTGATGAAGGAAGCAATAATAAACTGCTAACTCTTGAAAAGAATTCAAAAATCTAAAGATTCTCATAACATTAATAAAAAGCAACATTCTGAACGAAGAGTATTCTTTTCAATAAATTCTCATCAAGTTCGACAATTATAAAATACATTTATACAACTTAAAATCAAGCCAAGTTAGGGGCATATATCAATTTAACTGTTCCTATGAAACATGTTACATAGGAAGGTGCGTCTCGGGATACGAGAGTATTTACCGACTTAGTTCGGAAAGGACGAAATGAAGATGGTGAAAAGTTTTATCGTAGCGCATCTAGTAGACACAGGGCACCACGTAGATGCTTATAAAGCTTTCAGTGTCATTCACCGTATTCCAAATATAACACAACGCGTAGCTCGCCAACGTCTGCTCAGCATAACTAAGGCTATCGTCATAAGGTTGAGCAAACCTGAAATTTGCATTCAGAAAGATCATGTTCAAAAATTACATTGACCTTCACTAAATTAAAGATCGCTCCTGTCTTCTTTATTACTTTGTCTTTTCTTTCACCCTCACAATCATTTGTCATCTTAATATTGACAGATTTAAAGAGGGAGAATCAATTTCTTTATCGTTCCTAAATCTCACTCCAGTGTGAAAATGTATTTACCCCTAACTTAGCCTGATTTCACGCTGTAAAAATGCATTTTATAATTGTAGAATCTGATGAGAATTTATTGGAAAGAATATTCGTCGTTTAGACTGTTGCTTTCTAGATAAGAAGTTCCATTTTCTTTGAAGTTGAAGGGAAGAATGCTGAACTGATGAGTTTCAATGATCGTTAAGTGTGTATATAGTTTCTTTTCTTAACGTTTACCTCCTATATTTCATGTAAACAAATAACGAAATATAATTTAAATAGAAAGTATTAGCCTTGGTACATATACAAGATACAGCATCCTGACCGAAGTGATCAGTATATAGCGAATTCACTTGATAATGCCTTTCAGTAAATTCCCACATACTTCTTATTTTATCTCTCTTTTCCTTCAATCTTTTACAGGACTAATTCTAGAGACGAAACAAATGGAGAACAGAACAGAATAAGTATTATCAGTAAGTAAATTTTGCAAAAAGTATATAGGAATTTGTAGGTGTCGAATAAATCATGGTAGAAAAATATGTTAGCAAAGCTATAAGCTTTAGTCAACCAGTATGAAAAATAAACGTCAAATACTGAAACAAAGTTAGCATAAAATTCGAAATCTCATATCTCTGTATTTGAGACAAAGTTGTTAAAAATATTAAAAAAACAAGACATACCCAAAGGTGCCTATTCATACAAATCGTTATTACATCTTTTATATGCCATGGAACCACCAACTATTATTGTTATGATTATTTGTCCCTTGGGTTCCTAGTGGAACATAGGGCTTCAGTAGCATGTCTCCATTCCACTCTCTTCTCTGCAAACTTTTGAACCTGATTCAATGACAGCCCAGAAGCTCTCATTCCTTCCTCACATGATCTCCTCCATGTTACCCTCGGACGCCCAACTCGTCGTTTCTCATCTGGGTTCCACTGGAGGGCCTGGCGCGTGATGTCTCCAGCTGGCCTTCTCAGTGCATGCCCAATCCATCTTCACTTCCTTCTGCATATTTGTTGAGCGACAGGTTCTTGGTTGGTTCGTTAGCAGGCCAGAGTTACCTGTTGCTTATTCTCATTATTCTGGCCATCTGATCTTCAGTATCGACTGAGCGTAGGTAGCAGTTGTTGATGTATGTGTGTAGTTTGTTGGAAGTGCTTTTCATGACATGCCGAGTTTCTGAACCATTTAGGAGCACTGACTTGACTGGATTGGTGTTGAAAATCCGGATCTTGTTCTTTGTGCTGAGTGCAGTAAAGCAGATCTCCACACTGGTTTCAGCTTAATGAAGGTTTGTCTCGCTTTTCCAATCCTGGCTTTGGTGTCCTCATCTGTGCCACCTGTAGTTGAAACAGTGCTGCCTGGATAGATGAAAGAGGCTGCTTCCTTCAAGTTTCTCCCGTTGATGGTGATTGAAGCTTGTTGTTGTTAAGTATCTTCATCACCTCCGTCTTCTATACATTCACCTTAAGGAAGTCCCGTCTTCTCTGCCTTACCTCTTCCGTCAACTTGTTAGTTTTCGCCTGTAGATCTTCAAATTTGGGCTACAAGACATTAGACACAAATCATCGGCGAAATCCAAATCTTATAGGTTCCTTTCCGCTGTTCAGCATATTCCCCTCTTCTCGCTACTCACAGTTTGTTACATGATCCAGTCAAGTCCATTCCAGTACAGTTGACCACAATCAGGAAGATGATTGGTGATAGAAGGTGGCAATCTTGTCTTACTCCTGTCTTCACTTCAAAGGCGTCACTCAGCTTTCCATTGTGAATCACTTCGCATGTGGCGTCGTCATCCATCATATAGCTGTTGAATGAGATTGATAAATGTTTGTGGCAGTGAGACTGTGGTGTTGAAGGAGCAGCTGCCAAATTACTTCTCGGTCGAGGCTGTCGAAGTTCTCTTCAAAGTCGATGAAGTTGAGGTAAGATAGAGAGTTGACTGGCATTCTATACTGTGTTCTATGATGATGCGTAGCTGAGTGTGGTGTTGCAATTTGCTCCGCACATGATTTGTTCTTCCTGAAGCCAGCCAGCCAGCCAACCAGCCTGTTCCGGTCGTAGTTTTGAATGGAGAGCATTTTTATTCACTCCATGTAAGTAATACGTTACACATACATAATAACTTCTTATTTCGATGTGCAACAATTAGATCAAAGAAAGGCTGAGAGCGATCAGAACGAAGCGTATTATGAACCCATTAAGTCACCGTCTATTAGTTAGGTCAAGCAAGGAATCCCAGGCTACGTGGCTAGATGTCTTAAATCGGTGGTTGATGCTCTGGATAACAGAATAAAATTAGCACACAAAATGACTTTTTCCCTGTGTCTATCTAGTTTAATGAGTAGCTCCTTTCTGTCGTACAACTTAGAGTTATACAATAATTTCTGGATACTGAAATTCAAATAATAGTCAGACGAGATTTTCAATTGTCGTTCACTTTGACTACTGATTTTCTATCGAAAATGCCTCTCAAATTTATCTTTTGATTGACGTCACTTATCAAAATGAAATATTCATAAATTCACATTTATATGATCTAAATTATGTTCATTGTATCCTGGCTACATTAAATAGTCAGACGTTTCTCCTAGCATACTAAGATGATAAGAAAATATTACTACCTAGCATGGAATCTTCTGATAAAATGGAAACAAATGACTTGTACTTGATTATACTATTGTTCACTAGTAACTAACCTGACCTTGATATGCATTGAAAAATGTGTTCAGTTTAAAATAATGACGACAACCATTTAAGGTCTGGGATAACTTTGATAATTTAATGGAGAAATCTATTATGAATTCAATACTTAAATGAAATATAATATTTAGGTTTCTTAAAGAAGTGACTACATTCAAGTAGGAATATACACTGCCAACGAGTCTCAAATTGAGAAGAAACATTTATTTATTATTATTATTATTATTAGTCTCTTGGGTTCCTAAAGGAACATAGGGCTTCAGTAGCACGTCTCCAGTGAACTCTGTTCTCTGAAATCTTTTGAACCTGGCTCCACAACAGCCCAGAAGCTCTCATTTCCTCCTCGCACGATCTTCTCCATGTCACCCTCGGACGTCCAACTTGTCACTTCCCATGAAGGTTCCACTCGAGGGCCTGACGCGTGATATCTCCAGTCGGCCTTCTCAGTGTATGCCCAATCCATCTCCACTTCCCTCCAGTGCATATTTGTTGGGTGATAGGTTGTTGGATGGTTCGTCCCCAGAGCTCCTTGTTGCTTATTCTTTCTGACAATCCATCTGATCTTCAGTAGCAAGCGTAAGCAGTTGTTGATGTATGTCTGTAGTTTATTTGAAATCCCTTTCGTAACGCGCCGTCAAGTCTCTCAACCATACACAAGCACTTACTTGATTGAATTGGTGTTGAAAATCCGGATCTTGTTCTTTATGCTGAGTGCAGTGAAGCAGATCTCCACACTGGTTTCAGGCTAATGAACGCCTCTCTTGCTTTTCCGATCCTGACTTTGACGTCCTCGTCCGTGCTGCCTGTAGCTGAAACAGTGCTGCCTAGATAAGTGAAGGAGGCTACTTCCTTTAAGTTTCTCCCGTTGGTGGTGATTGGAGCTTGTTCTTGCTATTGTTGTTGGCTGAGTATCAACATCACTTCTGTCTTCTCTACGTTCACTTGAACTCCCGTCTTTGCTGCCCTGCCTTGCCTCTTCTGTCAACTGGTTAGTTTTCGCCTGTAGATCTTCAGGTTTGAGTGACATCAGGCACAAGTCATCGGCGAAGTCTAAATATTCTAGACTCTGTTTCGCGGTCCAGCGTATCCCCCTCTTCTCGCTCCCCACTGTTTCCTGCATGATCCAGACGACCGCGATCAGGAATATCATGGGGGATAGTAGGCAACCTTGTTTCACTCCTGTCTTCATTTCAGAAGCATCACTGAGCTTCCCATTGTGAATTACTTGGCGTGTGGCGTCTTCTTATAGTTGTTGAATGAGGCTGATAAAGGTTTGCGGTACTCTGTAGTAGTGAAGCAGTTTCCAAATTACTTCTCGGTCGACGCTGTCAAAGGCCTTCTCAAAGTCGATAAAGTTGAGGTGTAGAGTTGACTGGCATTCTATACTCTGTTCTATGATGATGCGTAGAGCAGCGTTGCAATTTGGTCCACACATGATTTGTACTTCCTGAAGCCTGCCTGTTCCGGTCGTAGTCTTGAATCCAGCGCATCCTTTAGCCTCTCCAGGATGATGCGGCTTAATATTTTGCTTGCATTGGGTGGACAGGAGAGTGATTCCGCACCAATTCTTGCAAACACTGTGGTCTCGCTTCTTCGGGAGTTTGACAAGGTACCCCTTCTTCCAATTGCCAGGTATCTTCCCTTCCTTCCACACCTTCTACAATAGTGGTGTGAACATGTCCGCTGTTGTCTCTGCGTCTGTTTTCAGTGCTTCTGGTGGGACCCCATCTGGTCCTGCTGCTTTCCCACATTTCAGTAGCTTTATGGCGTTCACGACTTCCATTTTTGTTGGAGGATTTATGTTCACTTGTAGTTCAGCGGCTGGGCTGTAGGTGGTATTTCTGGACGAATTACAGGTGGTGGTCGATTCAAGAGCTTCTTGAAGTGGTCGGCCCATCGTTTCCTTTGTTTATCTTCTTTGGTAATTAAATTTCCTTCATCAACTTTTATTGGTTTCATCTGTGTTGATCTCTTCCCAGACAGCAAGTAACCTGGTTATTTGATACAATGTCGTCAGGTCTCTCTTACCAGCAGCCTGTTCTGCTTCACTTGCCAGTGTTTCGTAGAAGTGTCTTTTGTCTTTGCGTGCACTCTTCTTCACTTCTTTGTCCAGTGTAGTGTTTTATACATTGTGCTCAGTTCTCGTTGTCGTTGAGCGTCCTTGCACTGGTTTGTCTTCTGCTTCACCATCCTCCTCTCCCTGCTCGATCAGCTTCCATGTGTCCATCGAGATCCATTCCTTATCTTCTTTCTTCTTCCTTCCTAATACCGCTATGCAGGTTTCTTTCCGCATAGCTTTCAAAGACTTCCAGTGTTCTTCCACACAGGTTTCTTCAGGGATGTTCCTCGATATCTCCCATTTTGTCTTTATGGCTGCCGTGAAGATCTCCTTTGTAGTTTCATCCTTCAGTTTCCGAGTGTTGTACTTGAATTGAGGTCTATCACCAGCTTCCTTGAAGGCTTTTAACTTGATTTGGAAGTTAGGTTCCTTGCACTAGACAGTGAGTGGTGTGAACCTACATCTGCTCCTCTTCTTGACCTTGTGTCAAGTAGACTGCGTCTCCATTTTCTTGAGATTGAGATAAAGTCAATATGATGTTTAGTGTGTTCATCTGGGGAAATCCATGTTGCTTTGTGGATATCCTTGTGCTTGAACACACTGCCTCCAATCACCAAATCGTTGAATGCACAGAGCTGTCGATGCTGTTGGGGACATCATGATAGCCACTCCAAAGCTCAGTGTGCTCATGGTTGTCGTCTTAGTGAC